AAATAAAACTATGGGTACATAAACAAATCATGACATGGTTGTATGTATGTGTGTGTGTGTGTGCTGTATAGATACTGCAGTTTAAAAACACTCTGGTAAAAGTGGAAGTATCAACATGGCCTCTTAACCAAGTAAAAGTGAAGAAGATTGTGCTTCAAAAACTACTTAAAGTATAAAAGTATAAAGTAACCTTTAAAAAAAAATAGCCAGATGCCACTATATGAATGAAAAGCTCAATTTGCGACTATTTAAAAAAATTCTCTGACATAGGGCCAAGGATGAGGGAGGTCTTGTTGGTCTCCGTCTCCATCTCCATATACGCTCTCGCCTGTGTCCGACCTTTCAGACATTTCAACATCTTTTCCTGAATCCCACATTGTAGCATGGCATAGACAATTCATGTTTGCAGTTTGAAGAACACCTGCTAGCTTCTGATGATTTCCTTTAGCTAACCAATGAGTGTTTGCGTTATATGACTCATCCAATTACACTAGTTTTCACTAGATGTGGATGGAGCCAATGATCTGCAGTGGATGACACACATGTGAAATAAATATTTATAAACAGGGGTAACCAATTAAAAATCAGCGGGTCGGAATAAAGAAAATCATCAACCAGTGAAGGTCCAGAGACATTTTTAACGGTCTGCTACTTTAAACAGAATTTAACACTGAAAAAATGTGGTATTTATGCATTCATTTATTTTGAAATAAACTAAATAAATAGTAGAAATTGCTAAAAATAGCATCCTGTGCTATATCAGAGGAGTCTGCACTTGTATGACTGTATTCCTGTATATCCATCAGTAGTTAAATTCTGCCCTGTAAAACAATGACTGCACAATTATCTCTGTATGATCTGAAGCCTCATTTGGAGCTCTTAAACAGGCTTTTGAAAAACTTTGACAATTTGCTGCTGTTATATTCTAGATTTTTTTTATATAAAAGCTAGCAGATGTGCATAATCAAAAAATAACAGAAATATAATTATAGAGCATTCAGTTTTGTAAGAAAGCCCACAATGTTTCTGAATAAATACATTATTGTCTGAGTTAAGTTCTGTTCAGTTTATGTCTCTTTCCTTGTAAGCGTGAAATGTCCCATGCTCCTGAATGCACCATAGATATCTGACGCTCGTGAATACATCACACTGCCTAAGACAAAGCTTTGCAGTTTCAAAACTCATGTCGGCATCACTGTTTATTGTTGTGTGTGAATAACAAGAGACTACAACAAATAAATCCGCCGTACCTTGGACAAAATCTTTGGATTTAATGTTGTTCATAACACCCGTACTGGGGATGGATATCTCGGCAGGGACGCACTTTTCGGCGTAATACCTAACCGCGGTTCACTAGTCCCTGATCTCTGCAACCGAGTAACAAGTAACTTTTGTTTTAAATATTAAAGGAATAGAAAGTAGAGATATGTGTGTGAAAATGTAATGAGTAGAAGTCAGAAGTAGGAATAAAAATAAGTAATGGAGTAAAGTATAGATACCTAAAAAGTGTACTAAAGTACAGTAACAAAGTATTTGTACTTTGTTACTTGACACCTCTGAATATAACTATATACAATATAATGGATTTCTCCAAATAGCATGCCAAACTGTAACTGTCAAGTAGAAACTTTGCAACCGAGGCATCAGTGAGAAGCCCGACCTGTGCTTTCAGTGTACGCCATTGCATGAAAGAATCTCCCAAAAACATCCTGGTCTTGTTTCTCTCTTCTGAGGCCTTTCTCTTCTTCTCATACACTTTGTAGACACTTTTTCTCTTAGGACCCTCTGCCATTTTCGGCTGTAAATGGCATATTTGCTGTCCAAGAACCCCAATGCAAGTCTGGTTAAAAGCCCTAGAATGAAATGACAGGTTTTCTTCCTTTTATGGTGTGTTCATGAATATTTAGATGAGCTGTGCTCTGATTGGTTGGTTTACAACGAGCGAAGGTGCTGAGCAAAGACGCATCATAGCAACAAGCACTCACTCACTGAAACTTTGAATTGTTTTTCCTAGACATGTCCTACTTTTCATACCAACAAAGTGGGGAATTTCAAAGTCATCCTGGATTTTGGTCGACTACAGTGCAGCACGTAGTCGAAACACACTGGACACTTGAACCGAGCCGTCGGCTACAGGGCTGATCCGGGAACCCCGGCGCGCGGGAGCCAGCGGGGGACGAAGCGACCGAACCCGACCTGGTGACGTGAGCCTGGACACTAGCAGCCCCGTGCTTCCTCCCCGCTACCAGTCCCACGCCCCCCTCCTCAGGCTGAGGATGAGCGGCTCATGGCTCCCTGTTGAGGTCCGGTTCGGTCAACAGCAGTCAACAATTCATCCCACTCCTCGCCTCCCACCCCCCCTTGGGGCAGAGAACCAGTGTGCTGGTCTGTATGTCAATTTCGGGGCATGGCAAAAGTACAGGCCAGAACCAAATAAGGCAACATCACCCGGGTTTACGTCAACTCTGCGCTTTGTTTGAATTACCCTGTTTTATGGTGGAAGTTTAGAATTGTGAGATTTGCAGAGAAAGGAGGTGTTGATGGGGTTTGAACTTCTCTGTACGTCCATTTCACCCACTGAACTATTGTTATTCTATGACAATGTAAACATGGTTTTGCATTCTATTATCCCTTTGAATTAAGTGTATTTACACCTAATTTGAGTAAGTAAATGAGATGATTTGCCAATGGGATCAGTATTTTCACTCTTAAAATAAGATAAGTAGATAATGTGCACCTGAAATAAGCCAATGCAATTGTTGTTTTCTTATTTTAAATGTAAATTGTCTTATTCCACTGGCAAAATATCTAATTTTCCTTCTCAATAAAAAAAAACAATGCGCTTATTTTAAGAAAAAGGACTTATGTCCATTTCATTTTTTTGCAGTGTAACTGGAACTTTATATCATATCATGTTTTCTCTAGTTTTTGGGGCTTGAACTATATTTTAAATTGTACTTACCATGTTGAAAGGTTCCCTGTAAAAATGTTTATGTTTATATAAGCAGGTCCTCTTAGCGTAGACCTACATCTATAGATGCAACTTCTCTCCACACACATACTTAATCTGAAAGCATAGAGGTACTTTATTGAAAACATGGCACTCATCCTTCAGATCTGAGCTCAAAATGGGATCCTGATGGGGGCTGGCTGGTTAATAATGATGGTTGACCGCTCAGGGACAATGAGTTCAACTCAGTGGGAATTATCAGCTTGATTCCAAACCCTCAGCCACCTTAAGGCTGTAGAAAGTCAGGGACTGTTCTCTGCACATATCCAAATAATCTAACAATGAAGATTAGTTTTTCTTTTCAATAACTTAACAGCAATAAGGGAGTACACTGTTTATTCAAAGCAGCAATTGTTTCTCATCCCTATCTTATGTATTGGATCTGTTTTATGTATGCAGTGAAAAACAGACTCTGGCAGATCCTGAACCAATATTTAACTCCAAAAAAGGTTAAGGAGGTTAAATTTAAAGTCTTTCATAGTATACATCACTAAGAACTATACGAGGAAATTTAAAAGAGAAAATTAATTTATGTCTGCAATCATTCACTTATATATCTTCTTTGGATCCTTTGGAAGGAGTTTAGTTATTTTATTATAGATGGAGTTCTCTTTAAGATGGTTGGATTTTTTTTTTTTTTATTCACCTAAAAAGGAAGCTTAATGCTATTTGATTATAACTTTACTAATCTTTCTGGCCAAGGTTTATATAATAAAGTAAATATGCCAATAAAGCAACTTACTTTATTTATGAAAGATAATGAGCTTTATATATAATCAATATCAGACTCTTACCAACAAAAACAAAAGCTCCTAAATCGATAACTGTATGTGAATTTTTGCATCGATTTGCTTAATTAACGGCCATTGTATGTTGCACTCATCCGTTTATCTCCTCGTTGTGTTTGTTATGCTCTTTTCAATCACTGAATAAAGATTTAAAAAATATTAAAACTAGATCTACTGACATGAGGCAGAATGTTCGGTTTGATTTTTTTTTATGTCTCAGAAATTTATTGGCAAAATTTATTAACGATCACATGTAAAAAGAAAAGTGTAAACAGCATACATTAAATACCTGTCAGGGGTCATTTACAGCATTTACTGCTATCCCCCAGTTCCCAAGGGGGATATCATTTCCTCCTGAGTGAGTGCAGTGGGTTGAACAAAGGTGGTCCTTAAACAACTGAACTCTGAGACTCAAATTAACTCTCAATGCAGGAAGAATGGAGGTGAAAAGATTTACATATAAACAGATATGCAAAGGGTTTTAAACTTATCATAGGCCACATTCACTAGGCTTTAGACACTGTGAATCCAGAGAAAACTATAAAAGACTTTCGGAAAGTCTAGTGATCTGTTCATCAGTATCACTTTTAAAGGAGTTCAGGCCGATAGGGTGGAAAATATAAAGCAGTAAGTTATTGGACACTGCAGTAGAACCATCGGAACCAGTTAGGGGAAAATCTATCTCTGTTAAACGTCCTCTGACTTCTCATGCTGACGGTGATCAGCAGGCAAAACTCCAACAATCAAAGAATTTATATCCCACGCAGAAATAAGAAAAAAAAAAAACACATCATTTCATTTTTTTCTGTTGCACCTATGAGACACAAAGGTGAACTCATGAAAGAATCATGACAGATAAATAACTGTTTATAGTATATCAAATATGGTTTTATATTGAGTGTTTTTGCTATATGTCCTTTGTCCCTCTGCCAGGGTTTGGACTCTCAGTCTTTCATAAGACTGGAATTGAACTCATAAGACTGAATTTAATTTAGCAGTAACTTTACGGACAAATGGCACAAAAATGCTTATTTTAATGAAAAATAGTGTGTGCTTGAAAGATGTATATGTATTTGAGTCACTTTCATAAAAAGAACACCTGTACCTATAGAGATCGCTGTCCACCACACCTCATCTGTGTGGATACAAGGAAAACAAGGAAAAAATCAACTCAAGATTTTGCAAAACCAAAAATAGGTTTATTGGTTGTCATTTACAAACACATATTTCATTTGAATGCACAAAGAGAGAAATATCATTTATGCTTTGTTTTTGGGCATATTTTTATGCTAACTTTAAAACAGATTATTATGCTAATGAGATTTTAAAAGCAATGCTAAACATTGTCATTTCCACATCTATATATAATACAATATTTATGGTATTTTAATACAAACACTATGAAATAATTTTTTCTGCACATTCTGATAAAGTAGAACTAATCAAAATATTTCAGAAAAATTTCATGAGCAAATTTCACTGCAGTTGGAGAATCACCACAGAGATTAAACTCCCTTCTAATAGCAAGTTTATAACTTAGTTCATGGGGAAATTAAGACCAGTGTTACGTAAAAAAAAAAATTTAAAAGTCTGATTAGAGAAAAATCACACTGAGATTAAACATTTATTGCCAAATAACTTCAAGAATATAAGATGCAAAAAAAAGAACAGAATCTGTCTGAGCAGAAATACAATATTAAAAGATCACTATGGTTATATATTCTATGATAGAGACTGAAAAGAGAAAAGCCATTAAAAATCTAAATGAAAGGTTAATGATGTATCACTGGTTAAATAAATCAAAGAAAGATAATTATTCTGCTGATTTTATCTAATTCTTCTAACTTTACAGGTTTTGTTTATATATGTTGACCTGATGCCAGACAGGAAAAAAAATTATTAATCTCAACATTAAACTTTCCTTCCTGTGAAACACTAAATGCTGTTAAGTGTGTTGTTAAACAAACATTAGGCGGGTCAAAAATAGCTTACTTGATATAACACTTTTTGTAGCTTTTGTGGATAATTAATCTGTACATGGTAAAAAATAGAATAAAATATTTTTACCATCAGAAAGCCTCTTAGTTGTTTCAGTTATTACAATAAGCTAGAATTACATTTGTATTTCTTTTACACACTTTTATTACATTTTTTTTTAAGCCTGTGAGCATCACCATCCGCTGTCTACAACTGATTATATGTATACAAAAAAAAATCACACATCAGAGAAAATAAATCAGGATATTCGATAAAAGGTCGAAAAGAAACCAGACTGGATTGAGAAGAGTGGACGTGTTGCTCACACCCGTTCACTCTTGGCATGGTTGGAGGGACGATCTACCTCCCGGGCCGTTCCGCCCCTCCTGGAGTAGAAGAAGCTCTTCTCCCTGGACTCATCGTCAATGAGGGCAACCAGGAAACACAGGATGATAATCCCGCTCAGCAGACAGAGGCCGGCTCCAGCCCAGCCAACGTACAGAGAGTAGCCGAAGGACATGAGGTGCTCAGTTTTGTTTGCTCCTATAGGGAACCAGATGGTTGCAACGGCGCCAAACACAGCTGTTTTTCCAGAAGGATGATGATTGTTTTGAAAGACAAAAAAAAGAAAAAAGAGAAGGTTATATGTTTTTGATCATGTCTGGTCAGAAGGATTATGGGCAGGAACTGTTTGTTCTAAAGAATCAGACAGATGGATCTAGTCAAGCTGAGGAAGAGCATCCAGACCAGAACCCTCCCCCTTCTCTTAAAAACAGCCAAAAACCAGCAGATTAATGTACTGAAAAGGTCGATCCACTCTCAAATTCCTTTATGAGTTAATCAATAGAACTGTTATCACATTTTCAATGACAACTAAGGTTTGTTTTCTGAAACGGTTTACAAAATCAAAACACTAAAATCTATCTCCTTAGACTAAAAATTAGTCAAACACAAAACTATGACACCAATAAAAGTTTCTTTACTTAAATTGGATCTTTTACCAAAACCAGAGGTATAGCTAGAGGTGCAAAATGACAAACCCTGGGTGGATTTTAGCTCAGTGCCGCAGGTTTAAGGTCAGGCTGAAGAGTTCGAGAGATGTAAAAAGCAAATTGTATCTGAATGTTGCTGCAGTCTGCAATCACATTTATGGCGTGCTATCTGCTTATATCACTTATTTGATTTCTGTGCACATATAACTTTATATAGCGCCTTTTCAAGTCAGGAGACTTCACCAATGCACTGTGCTTTGGGGTGGGGTGGGGGGTGTTCTATGGCAGTAGTGGCTTTTTTAGACAGTAGGCTGACAGGGTATGAGAGAGCAAGTTCAACCTAGTAGGTCTCTAAACTGCCCTCCCCCAGGGCGTCACTGAGGAATCTTGGTTCAGTATTCTTTGGTACTGGAACAGGGCAGGAGGTCTTCCTCATCACATATTGTATAAAGATTATTTGCAGTCCTGCTGCATTGATCTCTGGCTACCTACCCATCTAGACTTTTTTCTTTATTAATATAATTCTACTATCATCATTTCTGTATATATGTCCAAATATGTTTCCATGCACACAGAATCTCGTTCCATCGTCCAGCATTTAACTAATTCCCTCCTTTGTGTCAACAATGACCCCAGAAATCTTTGCATGAGAGTTTGAACTTTTAGAAGTGATAAAAAGACATAAAAACTGGAACCACAGTTAAGCATTGGATTTTGAAAATCATTTGCATGAGGTAAATGTTGACTTTTGCATATCCTCCACCTATGACTTCATGCAGTTTGGTCATAAGAATATGATCTGTAAATTAATGAAGGCACACGTGGAAAAAGTTTGTTTGCACATGCTGTCTGCTGAACTGCAAATGAAAATAATTTAATTTTAACCTTTTTAGAAGATCTGCTCTGGGCTCATAAAAAATCCTGAAGACGTGAAGTCCTTCTGAAAATCAGCTCCTTAGTTTTTATTTTCTCAAAAATGTTTCTCTTTAGATGATCAGCACAAAGTAGTGCATAATTAGAAAAAAAAATAATGTTTTTGACAGTTAGCTGAATAGTGTGGTGTGTGTTTGTAGTCTAACCACACACTACTAATTTAATTTAACTAGGTCTGGACTTTCACTAGGTCATTTCTAAGTTATTAAAGCATTTCAATATAAACCATTCCCCTGCAGCTCTGACTGATGGTTTAGGTCCTGCAATGATCCTCTTACTACACACTAGTCATGTTCAGGTCTCAAGTTCTTTTTTTTTATTATTATAACTTTTTTTATTGAGCATCAGAGATAAATTATATAATTTCAATTACAAGGAGGCGTGATACTCATATTTATATTTTAACCCCTCATCCAAAAAACATGTTGGCCACCAATCCAGTAGGAGTAGATAATTGCAGGTAATACAAAAATAATCAAGAACAGTGAAAAAAAAAGAAGTAAAATTAAAAAAATAGAAACATTTTTACATACATGCATATATACATTCAAATATATACACATGTATGAGAGTACATAACAAAAAGAGCATATATCTCGGTTTGCCAGCACTGATGTTGTGCACTAGACAAGGCATGGTACACATGGGTTCAATCATAATCACAAATACAAACGCAGGATGACTGCCAGAGGATCATCAAGTGGGCACAGTTTTAAGTTTACCTAAATGCATCAAAATCCGACCCCAGGGAGAAATTTATTCCTGGACCCCCTTAAAGTATATTTTATTTTCTCTAATTGTATTAAGTGTGTCAGGTCACTAAACTGAAGCTTATGAATTTAGAAACTATATGTTTTCATTGGACCCTATAAAATCCCATTAGGTTAATGCATTTATAGAATTAAGATTACCGTAACAAGATGGAAAAGTTCAAGAAGTTGAGTTTCTCATAAAAGTCACAATAAAGTAAATAAGTTTGGGGAAATAGATAATAGTAATAATAAAAAAATTGAACTTGATTGATCTCACAATGGAGAAATTAACTCTGCATTTAACCAATCCCCTTTGGGGAGCAATGGGCTGCCATCGTGTTGCTCCCGGGGAGCAATCAGGGGATAAGGGGGTACCTTTCGAACTCACAAACTCAGGATTCAAAGCCCTTTGCCCTGACCACTAGGCTCTAAATGAATATGGGGATCAGTATTGTATTAGAAAGGTCTGGATCTTGGTTCTGTGAGGGTGTCCTGATGCTTCCTCACCCATGATGATGAAGAGGATGCCACCCACTCGAGTGTTGCGCTTCTTGACAGTGGTAGAGGCGTTGGTGGGAAGCCGAATGCACGGCGTGGACAGGAGGACCAGCAGAAGTGCAGGAAGTCCCAGAAGACATACGGAGATCATCAAAGCTCGAGACACCTGTACATACGCTGCCAGATACAAAGCATCTGTTCAGAATACGGCAACGCAGCAGACCTCGCATATGCTGCAGTGAATGTTAGGAATGCAGCTCGCTGGCAGACACAGTAAGGCATGGCTTCTATCTAACGCATGCTTTCAATTTAGATGCAGTTATTCATATTTTTTATAGCAAGGCAACAATGCTTAGATACAAAACTTCTTCTAATTAGAAAATCATGCAAAATATCTGTGCAAACAGGCAAAATGTAATTATCCTGACTCAAGGAAATTTTCCACAAGGTGACCCATTCCTGGGTGAGTAACAGGAGTCTTCCTGTATCAGTTGAACTTAAACTTGGGCCATGGTTCTTTAGTAACTGGTTAGTGGTACTTAGAGATTCACTTCCATACAAAAAGCACATATTCTTATCTTCAGCTACCACAGTAAACATGTCAGATTAAATAATACTACTTATACTTCAGCGATAGTATCAAGGTGTTACTTTATTGTATCTCTTATACTATATCCGTTGGTTGTGCTGTTCTTTTTACATCTGTGCAGGTGATGAAGCAGACTGAAGATGTTTTATCATTGTCTCCCTTTTATCTCCTCTTTCTTTCATCTTTTCTCCTTTTTTAATTTTTTTTTCTGTTCTACCTACATTGCAGTGTCCATATAATCTGTAAAACTCCCTGCATAATTATGATAAAGATATTTATATGCATAAATCAAGTGGACCACTATGGCGATAGCCATACTGCTCCACTTGTGAAAGCAAAATCTGTTGGGTCCTTTTTTGGCATCAGCACAATTTTTCTTATTGCCACATTGCCAGACAGGACAAAAAAAGTAACTGGTTAGTAACCAGTAACAGGTAGTTACAGTTACATGAGTGACATTTTAACCGAATTATACTATCAGGAGTTGTTTTACTGCACTGTACTTTTTACTTTTATTCAAGAGTAGAAAATTTATAAAATTTCGCTTCCCTTACTTTAATATAATGTTTGGCTCCTCCATCAATTGTTATTAACTTCCCTGAATAACAAACTAGTTTTTTATGTGCTCCAGACAAAGACACGCAGTTAATATTTACATCAAATAAGTGTTTGATTTTTTTCTACTCAAGTTTATTTGAACCTATCATTACCTTTGGAGGTCAAGCTAATAAACTGTAGGAGTAAATATTATATTTTTAGGTACTGCTTTCAAAGAAAGAAAATTGTTAGTTTTCAACTATAAAATGTGTTTGTTTTAGTTATTTTATTATAACCTTAAAAGCAAGATTTTCCAAACTCCTGAAAATACTTCTACACGTATCAATCTGGTTTATGCCAAGTTCATTTTATTACAGCCTTTAAAATAGAATTTTAATGTAACTAGATTTTGGTCTTTGTACTCAATACTTTAGTAGCCTTATAGAAGTTTTTTTTACTTTTACCTAGGTTGTTTCTTAGAGGGCTACTTTATACTCTTGCTAAAGTAAAAATATGATAAAGTAGTTTTACTCCAACTTAAGTGCAACTGTAAGGCATTCTACCCCCTCTGAGCTTAACAGATACAATAGATCAGGTTATCCAAAGAAAAATAACTTTTAAAGATTATAAAATATATCATTTTCCAACAGTTAAACAAAGAAAATTCAGCATCAATTACATATTCTAATAAAATAAACTCGAAAGTGTCCTTTAAATCGAAATTTTTTCACCTTTAATGTTTTTTTTATTTGCAGTTTAGCTGTTTTTTTTTCTCCTTAACAGAATCAATATTGCTATGAAGAAAATGAAAAAGGACTCTCAAAATGGAAAATTTGTGAAATGCAGCTCTTCTACACCCTCCTGCAATTACACTTAGTCCTCCCTAGGGGTCATGCCCCACACTTGTGAATATTTTATCACAATAAGAAACCAAACAGGGAGGATCAAGGCTGTTCGAAACATAACAGGTAAAAGATAAGCAATTCAGGCCTTCCTTCTCAATGCATTTTCTTTGCAACATTCAATGCATTAAATTAATACTAACAGCAGTTACTATTTTCACGACATACTGACAGAAGTATTTGGTTATATGTTAATAAATGTACGGTATATGAAATTAAACCATCCTTGTTATTCAGCAAAAGCAACTTAAACTATTCCTTAAATGTTTACCTCAGTTTTTTTTTCTTTTTGTGTTGGTTTGGGGAGTAAATGCTTCACTCTAGTTCGCCCTACTGTATAGTTCTAACTTTAAAATATACTCCATTAACTTATTTGTGCATTTTTTACCAAAAAAGGCATTTTTTTACTCAATAGTTACCCTGTATGGTTACCAGAAACCTTTTCTGTATAGTGATACTTCCTGATAACATTGCTCACGTAAATGTAAAAAGTACCACATTGTAAAACTACATTAAGTTTGAAAAGTTACTCGAGTAAATGTACCCATGCCTGGCCTTTTCTTAAAACTTACGCTTAGAAATGATCATCAATCCAGTAGGCCTATAACCAGATACAGAAAAAACTCCCACAAATTAAGAGAATCATTGATGGAGACTATTTTAAATGATAAGTAATGAATTATGGGAGGACATTTTGATGCTGCCTTCCAGAATATCAATCTGTATTTGATACAAAGAAATGCAGTTTAACATCCTACACAATGTTTACATATCCCCTTATATATACAGCTAGTATACAGTTGCTTCTCCAAATTGTCCTAAATGTAATTAAAGGCACTATAGATATCGCTGTCTTTTGGGAGTGAAAGAACAGAAGGGAATTCTGGGAGGTAGTAGTGAAATCAGTTTGCTGAAAGGACAGACAACCCCACTCAGCCCACTCATGTGTCTGCTGGGACTAATATTTGACCACCTGAAAGCTCATAGTGAGACTGTTCAGTTTCTCCTGATGTTGACTCAGAAGGCTATATTGACCAAATAGGTTGGTAGTGATGCTCCTTTTATTTAGACTCTTTAGAAAGTTTGAGCTATTGTTTCAATGGTAAGTTGCAATTATAAAAAAAAAAAAGGAGAATATCTTAAGGTGTCTGAGGATTGAAAGGCAATGAACACAAAATGGAAGAAATGTATATGTATATGAGGAGATGTTGTTTATAAGCTGTCCGGATGCCCATAGATGTGGTCATTGTTTGTCATTGTTTTGGTTCTGTTCAAGTTTTATCTCTGAGTTTTCCATTTTAGTGTTCTAGTTATTTTTGATTGTATTTAAGTTCTTAGATATTTCCTGTTTGCACTTTTGTGTAAGTCTCCTTTTCCCTAGCTGCTCCCCATCTGCTAAATAGCCTGGCCTTTGTTTTTCTCTCCCATATTCTCCTCCTGTTCAGTCACTCTTGGCTGGTTTCTCATAATTTCTTTGCCCCTGTCGTTGTGAGTATTGCTGATTCTCAGTATTTTTGTAGATTTATGCTTCTGGATATTTGCTTCTGTTACCCTTTTTGTTATTATATCTTCAAGAAACCACATCAGCTTTTGTGCCCTCCTTCAAACCCCCACCCTCACATACTTTCTATATTGTATCTTTTTTTTATTGTTTGAAATAAGAAAATATTTATTAAAAAAGAATAAAAAATATAAGGTATGATAGATGAAAAGGAGATGAGGTGTTCTCCAGGAGTTAACTGGTTTAGAGTGGCAAGGTGTATGGAATGTGTCCCCGTTAAAAGACACGGAAGCAGATGTCTGGTTTGTTGTAGATTTACTGTGGTTCTTCTGACATGTACACACAGCAAGTCCAGTTAGTAAACACATACAAATGAAGAATTTCAGGAAAAAACAGGAAATAATGAGCTTTACACTGCTGTATCAGCAGGAAAAACGTTCAGCCATCTCACTTGCAGGTGTGGTGCGTTCAATGAAGCTTCGAACACTTATGGTGCGTTCATGAGCGTCGGACATATGACATCTCACCGAAAACACAGTATAAATGAACAGTTTCCAACAGAAAAACATCTAAACAACATGGACTTTCTAACATAGCCGCCCCCGACTGTCTACGCACAGTCGAATCCAAGATAGAAAGTCCACTTAAGTAACTAAATCTTCGGCTGCCTCTTCCAGTTTAGGCAGCTGGACCAGCCGAGCTACTGGTCGGACATATGTCCGATCCTTGACCTTGATGGCAGCGGTCCGGACGCGTCCATCAGCCCCTGGGTAAGTGGTTAGTACCTTTCCGACAGGCCATAAAGCCCGTGGGAGCTGTGGATCGACAATGAGCACCACTTGATTTGGTTGGAGCTGTTTTCCATCCTTCAGCCACTTCTGCCTCTCCTGCAGGCTAGGCAGATAGTGCCTGATAAATCTGGACCAGAAGTGATCAACAAGGACCTGGCTATGCCTCCATCGACGGTTCTCCAGGGTGTTACTAGGATCGTAAACAGCTTGTGGAAGAGATGCATCATAACGTCCCATTAGCAGGATGCTAGGTGTGATGGGATCCGGATCAGCCACGTCTGACGAGACATACCCAAGGGGCTTAGCATTCAGGATGCCCTCCACTTCCACTAAAACCGTGCGGAGCACTGCTTCAGGCACTGTCTGTTCCTTAAGTACCACCTTGAGAGCGGTCTTAACGGACCTCACTTCTCTCTCCCATGTTCCACCGAAGTGAGGAGCACCTGGGGGATTAAAGCAGAATTCAATCTGCTGTGCTGCCAACTGTTCCTTCAGTTGAGGGCCCATTGCCTCGAAGGCCTCACGTAGCTCTCTGGCTCCACCAGTGAAGTTGGTCCCATTATCAGACAAGAGCTCGAAAGGTTTGCCTCTTCGAGAGATGAAACGTCGTAGAGACATCAGAAAAGCATTGGTGTCTAGGCTCTCCAGAAGGTCTAAGTGCACGCAGCGGGTTGTCATACACTTGAAGATGATGCCCCAGCGTTTCTCCGTTCGCCGTCCAAGCTTGACTGTAAACGGACCAAAACAATCAACTCCAGTTGAGTAGAATGGTGGTTTGTAGAGGCGTAGACGTGCAGGTGGTAAATCTGCCCTCTTAGGAACAGAAGGGTTAGCCCGCCATGCTTGGCATTGCATGC